AAAATATCTCTTATCTTTGAGTAAGGGCTGAGTAGTTGCACAATTTGCTAGGCATAAATCTTCATCATTCAATGCTAATTGCCTTTGAAAGGTATTCATAATTTTCTTCAAAGAGACAAAAAATAGTCATAAAACAATTATAATCTCCAAAAACATATATCCAAATCCAAATAGTTAAAATATCCCGACAGTAAAATGTCTCATAAAAATAATAATAAATTGTCACTCTAAACATAAAACATAGCAATAAAGTCCGTAAATTATAACCTAGATAATTAAAAAATAAACATAAGCTAAAAGAGCTTAGACGATCAATGAAAATGTGTGGACTTAATAATTTCTTTCAGGGGTAAGACAAAAATCAGCAGTTTCCAAGTGGGTTGTATTGATAGCATCAAAATTACCTTCGCCATCTTTATACACAAGATTTGTCTCTATTTTATTTCCCTTCTGTTTTAGTGACTGCTGATAAAGATCAACTAGATGTTTTTGAGTACGACATAGACGTGACCAATGACTTTTTCCTCCATAATGATAGTATTTATTGGTCACATTGTGTTCATTTTCTTTCTCATGCTTGTTTTTATCTTTACGATCTCACTTTTGGCGGGAAAATGAGTTTCTAAAATGATCATATTCATATCCACATCCGCGACCATAACCACGACCACAGTCGCGTCTATTACCACTTCCATTGGCATAGTTTGTTTCTTTCAATTCTTGCACATTTTTAGTTGTCACATTATCTTCAGGGAATGGAGAAAAACCATTTGGTCATAATTCATGGTTTTTCGTTAATAGTTCGTTGTTTTGCTCAGCCACTAGGAGATAAGAAATTAATTCAGAATATTTCTTGAATCCCTATTCACGATATTGTGTCAGCAGAACTATTATTTGCATTGAAAGTGGAGTATGTTTTTTCTAACATTTATGCATCAATAATTTTCTCTCCACATATATTCAACTGTGAAGTGATTCTAAACATGATCGAATTATAATAACTAACAAATTTAAAATCTTGTAATCTTAAATTCAACTACATAACGAGCTTTAGGCAAAAGTATAGTTTTTTGGTGGTCATACATTTCCTTTATATTGATCCACAGGATTTGAGGGTCTTTAACAATAAAGTATTCAATCTTAAGACCTTGATGAAGGTGATGTCAAAGGAATATTGTGGCTTTAGTCTTATATTGAGGAGTTGTTTTATTTCCTTCATTAATGGTCTCACCAAGACCCTTTGAATCCAAGTGAATTTCAACATCTAGTATCCACGATAAATAGTTATTTCCAGTGATGTCCAAGGCCATAAATTCAAGCTTTGTAAGATTTGACATGATCACTATTATAATTAAAAATAAATCAATTGGGTGAATGTCGCTTACTCATATACATACCAAAAAATTATTATAAACATGAGAACAAAGTCTAAAAAAATGAATAAATTATAATTAAAATGATAATGCATGGATAAACTCTAATCGTGATGGTCGATATAAAAAAGTCAAACAACAAAACATGTTTTATAAGATGAACTAATAAAATATGAGATATCTAAATTAAATCACTATTACAAACAAGAGACTTGTATATTATAACAAATCATGCAAAGTCAAAAATATCTTAAATAGTAAATCTCAATGAATCACTATATACGAGATATCTAGATTAAATCATTATTACAAACAAAAGACTTGTATACTATAACAAATCATACAAAGTAAATGTCTCTTAAATAGTAAATCTCAATGAAAGAAGTCATGTCACATGTCCTTGTAACAATGATAACAGATTACACCTTAATAGATGCTAGATTGGATATCCACATACTTGAGTGAAATTGGAATGTTGAGTTCACTTTTGTTCAGCAGTAATATTTTTGTATCGTTTGCTTTGTTCCTCCAAACGATTTACTAGATTGCTTGAATAATCTCTTTAGTAGAATGTCACGCCGATAACGTCTTTTAAAATAAATGAGAGTTTCCTTTTTATAGTTATTGTCGGTATCTGAAATATTTACCTAGAGAGTCAATAATTACGTATAGAGAAGTAAGTTGAGATTCCCTTTTTATTTTCAAAAGAAGCCTGGAAACTTGAATTGAGCTTTGATACTAAAGGTCTCTTCCTAAACTCACCAACTTCGATGAAAATCATGAGATTCTGTTACTCTATCATGCCCGGTAACATTGAAAATATCAACTGAATGGCTAAGTTTTGTTGTTTATTTAATAAACGTCTTCAACGGTCCAATTAAAATAATGATACCAAATCTCGTAACGTGATAGGATCAAAGGAGATGGCATGAAACGTAAACATATATATTTTATTTTTCTTTTGGCCAAAAAAGCCAAACTCACGGCACAATCCAAGGCACGTGCCTCCTGATGTCATCTCTTCATGCAAATTTTACCCGTTGGATCTACCACGTGGATATTACCCGGTGCCCCACCCAAAAAAAGATAAAAAAAAATAGAGAGGTCGGGTCCAATAAAAGCCAAGGACCACGTGTGCGATTGAGAAAGGTGGCGAACGGTCGCACGCCATTGATGTCCGCGCCTCAATGGGGACAGACCCGCCGTGTATCATGCGATTCATGGCCGCCTGCTTTGGTTAAATTTCACACGGTCAAAAACAAAAAGAAAAGTTAGATAAAAAGTGACTTCTTGCCTTTGGTATTTGGATTTTACATGACAAATATTATATCTATCCTTGTCTTGTTGGATTGAGATGTCAAAAATATATCGTAGCGGATGAAAATGAATGGCGCGTCTCTAGTGAAAGCTACTTGCTGATAAGACTGTTGCTTGAGGTGTAAGACAGAAAATTTCTTGTGACAGTAACATATTTAGGATGAATTACCTTTTTAATACCTTAACTATTAATTTTGGTCCATTTTAGTATGTAAATTTTTATTTTTTTAAATCATACTTAAAATTTAGTTTTTATTTCATTTTGACATCTCATTCAAAATTTAACGTTAAATTTAAAAAAATAAATAAAAGTTGATGTATTAAAACGGAATAAAACTGATAGTTTAGATACTAAACGCATTAAGTTTTTAACGACAAAATATTAAAATGAAACAAAAATGGCACATTAGATATATTTTTTTAAAAAATAAAAATTTAGGTATTAAAATGAACCAAAACCGATAATTTAAATAGTAAATGTAGAATTTACACTATATTTTAATAAATAAATAAAAGTTATTTCGTAGGCTCATTTGTCTCGTTTGCGTTATCCAAGCATAATTGTATGGTCTTATTTAATTGTATAGCTCTCATTGGGCAACCTGCTAGATCGTCTTATTATTCTCTTATACTTCTCAACAGATTTAAAGATAAGAAAGAGAGATTATTTTTTTATAGATTTTAAGTTCAAACAATTAACCATCATCAATTTATTAAAAAAAGTAAACAGAATTAAAAATAATATGCACTTGATTACAGGGGCGGATGAACTAAGCTCCTTAGGGGTCAAGCACATCCCATTATTTAGGGAAAAAAGTGAAATTTAGTATAATATGTTAAAAAAAATGGAAAAAAATAAAAAATTTTGAACCCATTATTTTTAAGAAAAAAAAATTAAAATTTTAGACCCCTATTTATAAATTTCTGGATCCGTCATTGCTTGATTAGGTTTCAAAGAATACGCGTGGGGATGAAAACAAAAGAAAAATGTAATGATGGGGATGATAGTAATTAAGGTGTGTTTATGAAACAGTAGAGAATTGATTGCTCGTAAAAAAGGCAAAAGAGAAAGAAACATGTAAATGAAATCCTTAATTTCCTTGCCCCGGAAGAGTTTGGAACCCAATTATGGAAGCATGCAAAGCTTACACGCAAATTATTACATATATCATATCAGCCTGCCATACCCATTCTATTCATATTTCATTTCAGTATTCTTTTAGTTTGCATTTATATCTCTAACTAGATTTAATTTAAACAATTATTTAATTAATCCTTTAATTATTATGTTGTTTCATTGTTTGTGCCTCACCCCCGCACGTGTATCGACTTTAGTTTTGTCATAATATTTATTTCCGGTTTCCACTCCAATCCCATAACCTAATCCGAATAAAACCCAAAGAAACAGGATCCGATCGTCTTCTCCTTTTCTTTTTCCGCTTTTTTCTGTAAAGGTTTCCGACAGGAAGACGTCTCTTTTTCCCGCCATTGGCAATAGAACATACATCGTCCCTACATATATATCGAGCGAATGAATGGAAGTTCCACCTACCTAATTTAATTAATTATCTAAGAATTACATTAATACAGACTCTATCTTATCTTCTTAAACGAAATTCACAACCGTACACGTTGCCCTTTTTATCTTAATATATACTGATATAGCCTACAAGATTACATGTTAAATATATATTTTTTATTTAACAACGTGTTTAAGGGGTCTGCAATTAAAATCATGAATGTAATACAGAAGTTAAATGGGACTCAATATACATATAATATGTCTAACAGTTCATTTTTCTGGTCGTCGTTTGTTATTTATGTCTTATCTATTCTTAATTCTTTTGCTATTTGAAGTATTGTTTGTTTCACATGTATACAATCAAGATTGCTACAGTTTAATTTGATGTTAATTACTTATACAGCCAAACCAAAGCCTGAAGGGCTATATTATTATTATTATGGCTTACGCCGTAAGAATATCACATGGAGGGGAACTCCGTTCACACCGCGAACCAATTTAAAGCTGATCAAAGATCTACGCATGAATGACAACCGGTACTGTTTCGATTCCGTACATGTATTTGACCTACAGTTGCCCGTCGATCCTTTATTAATTCTCTCTTTTCTCTAATTCTTCCAAGCCAAAAATCTCTCTTCTATTTCTTTCCTTCTCTCGCTAAACAAAAGCTCTCTTTCTTTCTCTGGTGAGTGCAAGTGTTTAGTTTTTTTTTCTTGATGAATGAAAACTGGAGTATTTGATTGATAGGTGGAGAGAAAAGAGGGTATAAAGATCGAAGATGTACTGGGAAACTCATTGTATTCTGACTACACAATGAATAATTTCCCATTACAAAGTACGTTTGATTTGTGTAGCAGTGAAGACGAGAAGATCCGCTCTTTAGGGTTTATGGACTTGCTGGGTGTTCAAGACTTGATCGGTCCTCCTTTCCTGGAGATCATGGCAGCACAGCAGGTTTCCACTCCTCCCTCCAAGAAGATCGAGTCTCCCGAGGTTATTAATCAGCCTGCGACTCCTAAATTTTCCTCTATTTCATCTGCATCAAGTGAGGCTGTTAATGACGAACCAGTTAAAGAAGATGACCAAGAAGAAAACCAGCAAAAAACCAAGAAACAGTGAGTTCAACTCTTTCTCTTTCTATAACCTTTTTTCCTACTATTTACTCATTTTCCGTGTGGGAGAAACACTAAAGAGACAAAGATGAATCCTTTTTATGTGTGTGTTTGAGTCTGTGTTTCTGTTCACTGTCAAGCAAGTCTCATTTTTGGAACTAATTTGGAAAAAAAAGTGAGGGTTTTGTTGTCCATCAAAGTGATTTGAAGCTGATGGAGATTTTCTTTTGGCGTTTGTGGGTTTAGGTTGAAACCCAAGAAGACAAACCAGAAGAGACAGAGAGAACCGAGATTCGCGTTCATGACGAAGAGCGAGGTTGATCATTTGGAAGATGGGTATAGATGGAGAAAGTACGGCCAGAAAGCTGTAAAAAACAGCCCCTTTCCTAGGTACCAACTCCCAATGTTCAAACTTCTAACCTATTTTGCTTCCCTCATTCCGTATGATATTCTTTTCACCAATTTAGATAAAATCTCAGATAATAAGTTTACACTGTTTTATTTCTCCAAGGAGTTATTATCGCTGCACCACCGCCTCATGTAATGTGAAGAAAAGAGTCGAGCGATCTTTCAGTGATCCAAGCATTGTGGTCACCACTTACGAAGGCCAACACACTCACCCCAGCCCGATCATGCCTCATCCGAGTCTTTGTGGTTCTCATCTGACTTCACCCATCTCTGCTTTTGGCATGCCAACGCAAAAAACTCCACCTCACTATCAGCATCAGCATCAACAACGACCATTTACCGATAATATTGGTTCCATGAACGCCCGTTTTCTTCATGAGAAGCTTATTTGCAGCACGTCAGTTCCAGGACCGTCTTTGCTTAAAGACCATGGCCTTCTTCAGGACATTCTACCATCCCATATGCTGAAAGAGTAGACTAGAACACCAATTACCTTTACATGTAATTCTCTCACTTGGGGCGTGAAAAGAAGGTACAGAGAAATGATCAGTTCAGTTCACTGGTATAGTAATTTTCTTGCTGACAGGCGCCGGTTCCTCTTCAAACAAACCACGATGAATATTGCTATATATAACTTTTTGGACTTGGTTTCTTTTTTTGGCCTCATTTGGTGGCTCTGGATCTGTATAGATTATGCAGCAGGGAAATTTGCTTCTTTCTTCTTTAATTCTTCTGACCCCTTGTTTGTCCTGTACCTTTTGTTTTTGTTATTATCAAACGAATCTGTTGCTTGATGGCTAGGGTTCATCAGAGAGAACAATTAATGTGGAAGCTTAGAAAGCCTTCTATTTGTCCGGGAATCATCGAAACCCCGATTGTTCGTATAGCACTATTGACACCTGCACATTTAGTGGGGGCAGATGGAACAATAACTCAACTAGGCCTCATTGATCGACATTAGAACAGCATGTTACCTTTTAGCACGATTGCCTTTTTGTCCTACTTAGAAAGGCAACTGTTACAAAGATTATTTTTAAATAATCAAACCACATTAACGTAAGTGTAGTTATAAAAATAATTTGATCTTTGTGTAAAATCTTTCCAATAAATTGCAACTTAAACCTTCCAAATATGAGCCTCGATTCCCGATTCTCACCAAATTACCTAAAGTAGACCCTTTTCCTCCTCTAAAATATTTGACTAATCACCGTAACGGCATTGTTTCTCTAAATTCGTTAATTTTCAACTACTGCTGTTCATTATAAGGTTAAAATCTAATCAAATTGAATCAGTTTGATTAATCATCAAAATTTGTTCAACAAGTGAATAGTTAAAGTTTTTTTCCCCAAAATTCAATTATCAATTAATTTAATTCGAAGTCGATTAATTATTAAAGAACATCAACAAACAAAGGGCTCCACAAAAGTTGGTATTTAACAATTTCAGTGTTCCATTTTTGCCTTAAAAAGACGTTTCTAAACATACCTGACGCCAAAGACCATAAGCTATGTGCATGAAACGACAACTACATTGAGATCAAAGAATCAAAATAACCTACAGTCGAATCCGTGTATTTAACTACAATAATCATCACCTGTGCAGTGCTCCAGGAATCTTACCATCTTGAACAATAAACCATGCATATCGTACCCGTTGATCATGGCGACTTCCAAGGGGCAGTAGCTAATTTTTTAAAATCACGCAAATTGTTCTGAACCTGTTCATTTAGAACATCAACATGCAACTTCAAACCAGCGATTTTAAGATTTTCAGCCTCCTTATCTGACTGTATGACGGCACGACGTTCTTGTAACTCGGTAATTTTCTTTTCAATCTCTTCCATCTCTTCATCCAATTTAGTTACATCCTCTGTATTCTCAATTATCTCCCTTTCCGTATTTTTTATCTCTGCTGTACGCTGTCCATGGCCTTCCTTGATTGATAGTAATTTGTTCAAGCGATCTCGAAGCAATGTAACAACAAATCCATGCTTTTCCATATAACTAAGACTATAAAAAATGCTATCAAATGTATCTCTAGGATCATCAAAACACAACGCTGATATCTTCTCGAACAAACTGGCAAAGGTTACCATGATACCAATTGCCGATCCTTCGCGAAACTCCTCTCTGTTTTCAGCCAAAGGTTGAAAATGTGGTTTTTGGGGCATAGTTTGGAAGACATCCATAGATTCAATTGTTTGCCAGAGGCTAGATTTCTTTACAAAAGGCAAACTCCGATCGTCTTCCAATAGGCTTCCACTTCTTGCATCCACAGCAAGAGATTCTACCGGAACATCAACCAGTCCTCTATCCTCATTGCATTCCTTGACAAGCGCAGAGGGAAGTCCTAGAACGAAAACAAGCATACTCAACAATTTCATAAATATACAAGCCAAGTCATGATCTACATTCTGTACACATTAGACAAGCGGTAAAAGAGAGGAAATGACCAATAAAAGAAAATGAGGATTCACAAATCTTATGAAGCAGCTTACTTGAATTTTCATCACCTGAAGACTGGATTGCTACTATCCATGTTGAGAGAGGTTGGTCCTCATCAGCCATGTTTGAAATCCCAGCACTTGGCAAGTGAACCTCTTTTGTTTTGGGATCATCACTTGTCCTTCCTCTCAATGCATCTTGAGAGGCTATACCATTAACAAATATAATGTTAGTTTACAATTTATAAAGCGAGCAACCATAAACTACAAAAGAATAAAACATATTCGGCCTTAATTATATTTCACTTGTAATTCAGGTAAATGACAGAAAAATAAGTAAAAAAACAAAGGTGGTTGATAACATGCATTAAATTTCCTCCCAACATCACCCTCCTGTCTCTCATCCCCCAAACTACAAAACTTTCCCCTTCTTCCATGTGAATCACTAGCCCAATGCTTCAACTATAATTCTTCTACAATCATTTAGTAAACCACTTGGAAATCTCATTTAATAAAATAGTAACTCATAAACTAGGGTTAAAACATTGGAAGTGGCTCTACCCCAATGCTTCCTAAAGAACAGACAGCCTCATTTACCTGCCAGCTCCAACCCTTTCTGTTTTGACAAATCATCTTCATTACTTGTACAGTCTTTTACAACATTTTTATCAGCAAGACCTCCAGCACCATTTTGCACCTTACCTAGAAATCATAACAGTAAGTTTACATGTACACTCATAAACGAGCTAGAGCTTAAAGTATCATATACCGGAAACAAAAGCTTTTGGAGTTGTAACTACTGATTTGCGTGGCCTTCCCCTCTTTCCGGTCTGATTTACACCAACTTTATGCTCCCTTATTTCCTATATCAGTAAGACCAGCAGTTAAAAGAAGTATCACCGGAAGATTATGTACGGAAATAAGTCACTAAAGGGGGTTCTTATTCCATGTTTGATACAATAGCAAGATAAAGACAAGACAGGGAGCAAGCTCAAGAAAACAAAAAGCTTCAGCAAAATGAGCTAAGAACGGTTATATAGGCATTAATTATAAAAAAACAAAATCAAATATTTTTGTTTACTTTCTATAAACCATTCCCATTATACCAGTAGCACATCTACACACTTTGCTCACAAGAAAAAAAAAAGATGAATTCATGTTTAAAGAGGGTGGGGAGTTGCAAGAAAATGGATGCAACAACATTTGATTTCCAGGGGTTGAGAATAGCTTACAACAACAACAAAAAACCAGTTTACTTGTGCATATTTTCAGAAACCAAGTCTAAAACCAAGCACACTGCTAAATTGTTCAACTTTTATAAGCACTTGAGAACAATACCGATGAATGTTCAAAATAAATGTTCAGTTGACCATTGGGTGCAATATTAAACACTTTCAACACTTCCTACTAAGAATTTAAGTCACTTCAAATTTAATAGTAGGTTTATCTTGGCCAGAGACTACTACAATGTTGCTTACCATGCTTTTATTTCTGACTGAATCATTTACTCTTTTAAGAAGATCCCTTATCTGAAAAGATTTTTTATCGCATAAAGTCTTTGTGAACTTTGCTGTTAATCCAGAGATGATAGGCATATCAACTTCCTTTGTTTTAACCTCTCCTTCATTAATTTCTTCTGCAGTCTCTAAAATTCCCTCCTTCGCTGAAAATATGTACCACATTATTTAAAAAAAATTATCAAATCAGCACACATTTACCAATGGCTATATGTACCTGCTGTCAAAACCTGTGGGCCTTTACCAGGTGACTTTCTAGCTCTTGTGCTCCTTTTCACAAGGTTATTTGCAATACTGGCAACCGAACCAACTTTATGCTTCTTAGCCTTCTGCATTAGAAAGGAGAAATGGAGGTCAAATAAAAGTAGTAGAGACAGAGATGATCAATAAGATAGCTGGTTTAGCCTACAAAAGCAAAATGCCAATAATCAATGATCATTACCCAGTTAGAATGGTGGTGTTGACAGAAAAGGTGGCCATTCGAAGCAGTTTGCTGCAGAGTAAGCAGGGCACATTGAATATCCCAGTTGGAAAACAACTTCACTTAAACGCTTCAAACAACTCATTAACCAATATAAACTATGTCAAGAAGGCCACGTTTTGATGATATTCAAGTAGACGTGATTCTTTTAGTTAGAAAGTAGAATAATTCTAAAGGGGAAGGAAAGGATAATGTTAATTTCTTCTTTTTGTATATCTTTTTAGTGGTTCCACTTGAAGCCACAGATAATTTTCTAGCATGATTTAGAACAGAACATAAATATACTCCCACACAGAAGTTTGAGAAGCTATATGCTTTGAATAAAAGGCAACTCGGGGAGGCAATACATATCCAAAAGAATACGATAGAATAGTAAAGAATACAAGATTTTTTAATTATATTTATACATTTCTCATCATCAAACAGAGAATGTATTGACATATACAAAAGAAACAGAAATGGAAATAAATTGATTCAAACTTCAAAATGAGAAATCTAACTCACAGTCGTAGCTTCTGTTAAATAGCTCTCAGTCTTAGAACAAGACCAATCACCAGCAGTTTTCTTCGTGAATCCAACTCCTGTACCTTCTTCACATGATGTTTCATCAGGAATTTCTTTTAACCGGTTAGATGTGACTAATAGTGATCCATAATTTCTATCTGAATAATGAGGAGAGGGTCTGATGTGGAGGGAATCTACAACAACTGTTACTGCACCAGACTCATCGCCGTTCTTAGAGTTCTGCTGCTTAACCAAGAAAGTAGTGTCCCCATTTTCTTTTATGACTATTGCAGGGAACCAAACATCACGTAAGTTTTCATCATTGGTATTTACCTCCACTGCTGTCCCTGAGCTAAAAATTGAACCTGTTGATTGCTTTAAAAAAATATTAAAAAAATTCAATTGGGCTGCACATATCATCAATTCCACAAATGACAAAATGAGGGACAACAATACAGTTTAAAGAAATAATAAAGAGATGTATAAACTTTTACAATCAGATGCAGAGTGAAACATATATATAAAAACAACATAAGAACAAATAAATCTGACATAATTGAGAAAAAAAACGTCACTCGAAAAACAAAACATGCATGATTCAGGAAAATTAAAAGTTTGAGCTGCTATAATTACATGTAGCATCCAACTGAATTTGGATCATTTCAAGTAAAAAGTAGATGCCAAGAAAGAATTATCAGAGCTATAACAAATAGATCATAGCAAGAGAAACATGGTTAGAGTTAATTATCCCTTTCAAGCACTAAAAAGAAAAGACGCTAACCATCCCATTTTCTGTTCAACAGTAGTCATAAAAACATAATTCTAATAGAAATCTACAGGCTGTCAGATCCGCAGTTTCAATAGAAAAAATACTACTACTACTACTACTGCTGCTGCTAATAATAATAATAATAATGATTACAATATTCATAAAATTAATGAACCCCGCAAAATACACTTCTTCCTCTACAATAAGAAACACAAAAATTCAACTCGCATTTATGAAATAGAACCCGAAACTCCCATATTTAGGGGGGAAAACAAAAGAGAACAAAAACAAAGATGGCCACGTTAGCACGTACCTGCTTTTCGGGTCGAACCCATTTTCCATCGATCCAATCCCAATGGACCCTCAAATCCTTCCCATCAAACTCGATAACATCAGGTGGATTATCAAAATAAACCATGTATTTCGCCTTTTCCAGAACCTTCCTCACAACCCCGGTCCACCAACCATCTCTATGCCACGCATCGACGATCTCGTTTACCTCAAAACACGAAAGATCATCCTCTTTATCATTAGGCGGCAATGGACGTATAAAATCTGGGTCGACGTATTCTGTCAAAGGGGACGAACCATCTTGAGCTCGTAAAGCCTTGTAGCGAACCAAGGGCCTCTTGCGTTTCTTGGAAATGGACTTAGGAGGGGATTCAAGAATTGTGGCCAAATACCAAGGCCCTCGAAAGCCTTCCTCGCCGCTGCATACCTCAATCAGGGTTCCTTTAGCGGTGGGTTGCTGTTGCAGCGTGTCAGGTTCAGGAGGAGGATTCACCATTTTTGCTGGATAGTGGAGCAAACGGTACGGAATGTTTCGGGATGAAAACCCTAGGTCCCTAGGGGGTTTTGGTCTTTCCAGTCAAACAGCTTGTAGTTGTAACTTCAGCAAATAGAAAAAGGAGTACGCCAAGTATTTGTAAAAAAAATCAATATAACTTTTATAATATATTTTCTCTTGATATAATCTTTTTAATTCACAAAAAGAATATAATATTATTCTTTGATCAAGTTTTTTTTTTCACTAACGTCTCCAACCTTCTCACATTTCATCTATTTTAACCATCAATACTCAACTTAGCGATAACAAAACTCGACTATACATAAAAGATAAAATATTTTCTTTAAATTTTTAGTTATTCGAGTTAAGTTAGAGTCAATTCAAATTATTGATTAGCTTTTTGAGTTTGAATTGAATTGAAATTTGAAAATTTCGAATCACTTACAAAATAAAAAAAATTGAATAAATATTTTGACAAATTTACTATTTAGTGTCTAATTTCTTTATTCCTTCAATCCGTCATTCGTTCTAAGTTTATTTTTTTTCTAAATTTGAACCACATGCTCATAAATAATCATATAATATCTATGTAATTTAAATCTCTTTTTTATTACAAGTTTATATATATTTTTAATTTAGTCCCTCAATTTTTCGTAGTTTCCTTGAAAATGACTGTCCCTTATTCCCACTATAGAATACTTATGTAGCTTCAATTCCTATTTTTTTTTACTAAAAAAACTCTTTTATAATTTAGTCCCTTAACTTTACATTTTACTTGATTTGATCTTTTGACTGTAATTGTTTGTAAATTTTTTATTTCTATCAATTCTTTAATCCATTTATACTCTCATCAATACTTTATCCTCAAAATAACTTATTTAAAATATAATATGTAAATATTAGATTGTATTTGATATATTAAATAGCATTATAATATGAAAAGAATGTGAAGAATTTATATATCTTATATGGTTAGAAGAAGTAAAACAATTAGAACCTTATATCATAATACTATAAATAATTACAATTAAATGTGTATATAAACTCAAACAACTCAACTCAACCCAGTTTTCATAAACGCAACTTGAATAAAAAAAAACTTCAAGTTAAATTTGAGTCATAAAATATGTATTCGTTAATTCAAATAACTCAATTTTTCAACTCGACTCGATCCGATCAAATGCTCACCCCTCAACCAACAAACACGACACAAACTCATTTACAATTGATTGAAATCCATTATGAAACCCAACCCTTAAACTAAATTCGACTTGGTTTAGTTTTCATTTTAATTTATTATATGATAATAATAACTCTATGTGAAGTAGTTCAACGATCATTGACTAATGTAAATGACGTGATCAAAACTCCTTACATGTCACCGATTGCATGAACATATTTAGCGCCTAAGTAGCTATATATATATATATATAATTTCAATCGTACAATGAAGTAGTAAGTAAATAGTTCACCAAACCATTTCTTCCCCGCAAACCAAATGACAAAGTAATTCACAGTATTTTCCTTACAGGAATAATATTTGGTTTTACTTGCATTAATATTGTTGGTTGGCCATGTTAGAATAGAAGGAATAAGCTGACGTGGTTGGGATGTTAATCAGTTGATAGAGATTCTGTTTCAGCCGTTGGGCTTTTGACTTGGTATATTTGGGCTATAAAAAAGCCTGGTTACTTTGTAATCAATTAAACATGAATGAAAAGTAACTTTCCCAAGATCCCTTTTTACTTTTTATCAGTTTAGGTTTTGTTTGTGAAGAAGTTTTAACCGTCTTCATTACTGTTTAGTTCACGGTGGTTCTTCGGTCATCGGATTTATATTTTCTGTTATGGTATCAGGGGTATTTTCGTCTGTTTCCGTTGTTCTTCGTTTCTTTTTCTCTCCCTTGTTTCGTCGTGTATCTCGATAAGGTGTAAGCTCCATTGTTCTTTGTCTTACTGTTCCTGGTCGATTACTCTGTAAGTGCTTCTTGATTTCTTCAATTATGTTGGGCATTGTGCTCTGAGATCTAGTTTCTTTCATTTGTGCTTTAGTTTTTCTCATTTTTGTATGGTGATTGCTTTATTTGGCTACTCTGTCCTTCACGGTTTGCGTGTTAGGGTTTCATTTTTGTTTCCTTGCCTGGTTCTGTTTGGTTGCTGATCATGAAGTAGTAATGTTAATTCGAGTGTTTTACATGGATTTGCTTGCAAAAATTTTTCTACTTAGAAGATTAACGTGGTATTGGATGATCATAATTACTTGTTGTGGCATCATCATGTATTCTTAATCATTAAAACCCATATATAACTTCGTTTTATATATGACAAAGACTTTTATCCTTCTCAATATATTACTCAAACTTGAGTGTTCATTTACTTTGAAAGGAACTGCTAGGGTAACTAAGGCGTCTGCCATTTAATTTTCTTCTCTGGGGAGATAATTGAATGACACCTCCTCAAAATTTTCGATTAACTCTATTATCAACTAACGATATTCAACCAATTTGGGATCTTTCGTTTCTCATTCACATCTGAGTTGATAAATCACTAGAGTTGAATCCCCATACACTTTGAGTGTCTTTACTTTGCGCTCAATAGCAGACCTAGAATACATTCTTCATACTCAACCATGTTGTTTGTGCAGTTAAAGTTCAATCGACTAGTGAAAGGACAGTGATCTCCTTCAGGTGAAACTAGAATTGTCCATATTCTATGTCACAATGCATTTGAAGCACCATCAAAATTCAACTTCCAGTGTCCACTTGTGGAAGTACTCATTTCTTCTACAATATAGCTATCAAATCTTCGTCAGAAAAGTCAAAATTCAATGGTTCATATTCTTCAGAAGTTCTACTTGCTATGAAGTCTGCTATAGCACTTCCTTTAATTATTTTCTGGCTTACATACTGGATGTCGAATTCTGATAACAAGATCTACCAACAAGCTAGCCTTCCAGATAGAGCCGATACACCCATCAGATACTTCAAAGGGTCCAATTTGGAGATCAACTAGGTGTTGTAATACAACATGTATTGTTTGAGTCTACAAGTAGCCCAAACCAATGAACAACACAAATTTTCAATTGGTGAGTACCTTGCTTCGCAATCAGTAATTTTTTTGCTGAGGTAATAAATTGTTCTTTCTTTTTTGTTGGTGCAGTAACGCTGACCTAGTACACAACCTAACGAGTTCTCGAAGACTGATAGGTATAAATCAACTGTTTTCCTGAGATCGATGGCACTAAGACCAGGTATTAGACAAATACGACTTTAGTACTTCAAAGCCTTTTTGGAAATCATCACCCCACACCCTTGGGTTGTTGTTTTTTTTAATAAGGCGAAGACATGATCACATTTCTTGGTCAATTGTGAGATAAATAGAGCAATGTAGTTTAATCTACCTAGGAATCCATAAACTTCTTTTTTGTGTCTGCGGAGGTAGCAAATTTTGAATAACGTTAACTTTTCTGGGTCTATTATAATCCCTTTTTTTATTGGCAACAAATCCCAATAATTTTCCAGAAGTTACCCCAAATGTGCATTTATTCTAATTAATTTTAAATTGACATTTCCTTAATCTTTGAAAGAGTTTTCTCAAGTTTTCAACGTGCTCTTTTTTCTGTTTTGACTTTAACAATCATGTCATCAACATAGACTTCTATTCTTTGTGCATCATGTCGTGAAATAATGTTACCATAGCTCTTTGGTACATTGCCCTTACATTGTTTAGCCCAAATGGCATCACCTTGTAGCAAAATGTGCCTCACATGGTGACAAACGTGGTCTTCTCCATATCATCTGGATGCATTTTTATTTAATTATACCCAGAGAAACCATCCATGAAAGAGAACAGGGAATTCCCATTAGTATTGTATATCAAGATGTCAATTTATGGTAGAGAGAAATTATCATCCGGACTTGCTCTATTAAGATCTCTGTAATCAAATCACATACGAATTTTTCCATCCTTATTTGGTACCAGGATAATATTTGCAATACATTTGGGGTATTTAGCCACTTTGAGGAACCCAGCATCAAATTGCTTCTTCACCTCTTCCTTTATTTTTAGTAATATCTCGGTTCTCATCCTTATCAACTTTTGTTGCAATGGTTTGCATTTAGGCTTTATTGGTAATTTATGTACCACAATTTTTGTATCCAATCCTAGCATATTCTCATAGGACCAAACAAATACATCCTTATATTTATAGAGCAACTCGATCAAATTCTGACGACCCTCAACTGATAAAGTGATACCAATTTTTACTTATTTCTTCTCCTCATTAGACCCCAAATTCATGATTTCTGTCAATTTCTCATGAGGCAGAATCTGCTTATCATAACTCTCCATCATTTTCAGTAATTCAGAAGGCAAATCACATTCCTCCTCATTATCACAATTCTCGACTTCTCCTTGACATATGGGTAACTCGAAATCAATCTCCTGGTCAGAATCATTATCATTCATTCTATTGATATTTGTGAACCTGAAATAATAGATAAAGAAGATATGCATATGCATATGCATATACATATATATATATATATACATATACGTATACATATACGTATAAGTATAAGTATACGTATACTTATACAGGGAACTCAATCCCCATATTGAAATAGAAATAACTATGAACAACTGAATGAAAGAATATTTGCCACTATTACTTTAAAGTAATAGGTAAAATAACAATGTAAACGGATAAAAGTGTTCTGGTATAATGAAAATAGGTGATACTTGTTATTTACGCCTATTTTTATTACACCGGTAGACTTTTACCGTTTACATTGTTAATATAATTATCGATACTTTATAAATGTAGATAACAAGTATCGATAATTGGAATTTTGAAACCTATTACTTTAAAGTAATTAACAGTGTAAACAGATAAAAGTGTTCCGATATATTGAAAATAGTTGTAAATAACAAGTAGCAACATTTTTTATTTACGCCTATTTTTATTACACTAGTATACTTTTATTTACATTGTTAATTTGGTTGAGTATTAATACTTTATACATGTGTATCCTTCAATTCTTTTTATTATTATTAAAAGTTGTACTCTTCAATTTTCGGGATTTTTGGTTGCATTTGGTTACATTCCCCGTGTATCACCTAAATCATAAGTCTGATATGCTTCTAATGCTTTAATTGTTTGAGAACCAGATGCATCACCATCAATATTTTAAATATGCTTCTACATTAGGTATGTTTCTATTCGACGGTTTCGGTTTACGGTTATCCTATCTTCATGAGCTGGATGAAATGGATTCAAACCGAAAGACATTCTTCACATATCCAATCTTCTAGCTTGTGCCTCAAAATGATGATGGTCATGCTATACCTAGAGTTTCATGTAAGAAATAAACAATGAAAATTAGGATTAATCAATGTTAACATGAAAATTGTGTAAGTTAATAAGAAAACAATCTTAAAAATGGCATTTGATGTTACAAACGCAACATATATTGATTAGTTCCTTCCATCCAACATCTTTGCATATATAACAACATTTGGCAGGAGCCTCACAGCAGCAGAACCTCTCGAGGCAATGAGCATGTTGTTGTTTGAAAGGAACAAAGCAAAAAAAAAACTTATATTTATAGTGTAGCTCATTGAAATTAAAGTTAAAATTCAAATTCAAATTAAAATCTGCATAATTATTTCCTACTGTTCAAGTAACATGTGTTAATAGCCAAAAAGCAAGGAAAGACTCACATGAAATATTGCTTCAAAGTTGAGTTGAGTCATAGAAAGAAAGCAGTCACGCGAATAGAAGAGAAGATGAGAAAGTCACATCTTATAATGGATTTTTTATAGTGCCACATTAGAATGAAATCTTTACTGTGTAAGTCGCATGTTGTATTGTGGATAGGAATATTAGAATATACAATTATTGTTTGATATGTTTGAGTACATTAAAATTGAAAATAATGCATTATGTGTATGGATAAAAAATATACACACAAAATAAGTAAACCAAACATACAAAACAATGTTATACATAACAATCATGTAATCAATAAATTAATTAAGCATGTTCTAATTGTCCATTCTCAAAGAAATTAAACTGAAGAAAAATGGTTATTTCTGACAAAGTCCAGAACATTAAGCGTCTTCGACAAATTTTTCAAATACTCACGGATGTTTTCGCCTTTTGCTGAGGACATATATAAATAAATAAAATTAGAAACCCAAACATGTTCAATAATGTAATAATAAACCAAATTCACATAAGTGGACATAAATTTGTGTCATACCTAAAGCATTGTCGTTCAAATATGAAGAGTCAAAGGGATATGGACATATATAATTGTATTACTATATAAATACATAAATTGTGAATGAACAAATGTACAAACATATAGCTTAACAGAAAGAACATATGGAAAACATGTTACTGGATTATAAATCATTTTTCTGCTGAATCATCCACCAACATTGTATTTCCTGGGTTGTATTCTGAATACGCATTACAAACATCTTACAGATCTTTACAATATGTTACTTCATCTTCTTTTTTTTTGTATTTTCCTTGATCATGTTTATAGAAATAGTCAATCATAAATTTGTAGGAATCATAAATAAATAAAAGTAAATAATGCAAAAAACATGCATCTTACCCAAATGAATATAAAGTGGTCAGATAATAAAGGTAGTTTGTTAAGTGCACGATCAATGTTATGCCTGAAATTGTTAACAATTACCATGAGAAACATCCAATTGTAAATTATCCATTTATCTATAGTAATTCAATAGCTTAACAGTGCTTACCTCAACTTCGAATACCAAATGACAATAACAAAGTTTTCTAAACAAAAATGAAGAAATTCATATACACCTGGTCTTAGTATAACATCTACAACATGAACAAAATTACATTAAAATATTACATTTATATGTTAAAATAATGTATAGAAATAAAAAAATACAGAACATTTTGTATTTTTTGAAAAGTAGGCGAGGAATCCATTGACATAAAAAAATGACAAGTTTTCTTGTCGATGGTGTTGCAAACACCATATATTCGTTTGGATCTTCATCCTCATCGTCATCATCTGTAATGTCATCCTTTTCATTCAACAATTGGTTGTCCACCACCTTCTCCACTGTTGTTATAAGAAAAGCAAATACATTTTACAACATGTAAATATTTAGAACATAAAGAATGAATTACCTAACTCGTATGACGTCGTTGATGAAATTCGTTATGCAAGTTTGAGACTTCATCACGCAATAATGAAATATCGGCTCGCATTTCTCCGATTTGTTCGTTAATGTGCCCCACACGAGAATCAAAATGCTCCCGGAAATTAACCATGTACTATATCATTGACTTCATTGTAATATCCTCTTCAGCCTTAACCTCTTCCAACGGAACGTCTTCCATCGGTTACTGGTCTTCATTGTCAATGGGGTCCAATTGCTCTTTCTCTTGTTCTACTCCAATGCCATCTTTTTTAGACCAACCGATATTTTTAATAAATTTGTATCCGACTTTAGTTATAGATAACATGTCAATCTTCCGGGATATGCGAACAAGGTAGTCAAGCGAAAAATCCACTTTATTCTTCTTCAATAGATGGGTAATGACACATCCATATGGTAGTGAAGTTGTAATGGGTTCACCCTTTTTGACTAAATTAACAAGTATCTCAAATATCAGTTGTGCAATGTTTGGAGTTATTTTTAAGCTATTCTTCGCTAACCACTAATAATCGATATCTCGAATTAGGGAAAATTTTCCACTGGAAGGCTGAATAAACCAAGTGAGAATTTTGTGAAACACACTAGCCTCCACATCTAGGTTAATGGGATATTTCTATCCACACTTTTTATTGTAGGATCTAAATCAGTTTCACCGGAATTCCCTTTATTCTTGACATCTATACTCACACTAATAAATTCCGGAGAGATATATATATATCATTTCTCATTACATGAGTATTAATTCCGATGTGTTGAGTTAATCGATCAACGGAATTAGTCAAGAGGGGGGTGAATTGGCAATTAAAAATTCGGTGGAAGCTTTTGCAGAAAATTGAAAAGATTTGCACAGCGATTTAGAGTGGTTCGACTTTCTCAATCAAAGTCTACGTCCACTACCTTAGCTATCCACACTAAGGATTTTCCAACAAATTCACTAATTTGTTCTTTCTTTTGAGGCCAAAGAGATAACCTTACAATACCCTAAAAAATATACCCCAATTCTTGAGAACACTCTTTTCCCAAAGAGAAGATTACAAATTTGCAAACTTACAAGGAAAACATCACAAGGTAAGATGTTTGCACAATTCTAGAACAAGAAAAGAACACTCAAAGATAATTACAAATGAGCACAAATGGTGTTCTTGAAAGCAAAATGAATATTGAAAGGAAAATTGGCTTGATTTGCACAAACTTGATGTTTGATGCTTTCTCTCTTGTTTCTCTATGATTTCTTATTGATCAAGGGCTTCAGAACTTGTTTAAATACA